GCTGGAGAAAGGAGCTCGGGGGGATGCTTTGCACATGCACGGAAATCCTTCAGAGCAGATTGGGGGCAGCCGCGCACTCGGTGCAAGCAACTGTGCCCGCCCTATCTTGGCCTTAGTTACACCCCATCTACCCCAGCCGCCGCCCTGATTATAATTTTTGTTTTCTGCCTTGCTAGTTGCTCGTGAAAGGGAGTCGTTCGAGCTCGGCCCGCTCTGCCGCGCTGGCGTCGTGGATCTCGCTCGCAAGGGCGCTAGACTTGTGGCCCGCCGTCTGGATGGAGAAAGGAGCTCGGGGAACCATCATCATCAGCACCATCATAATCATCATCATCACCGCCATCATCAGCATCGCCATCATCATCGTCGTCGTCATCCTCATCAGCAACACCATCATCATCAGCGCCATCGTCATCATCATAGTCTTCATCACCCTCAGCATCATCATAACCAGCACCATCATCATTACCACCAGCATCAGCATCATCATCATAACGCCCGCCATACCTCATCCCCTTCCGTCGCCCCCGCCTTCTCCGTCGTTCCGAACTTGAGTTGCAGAGCGTCTCCATCGATCTGGTTCGGAGCGACGGTCTGGCGAATGCCAAAAGATCGGGGCGGCGGCTCGACGACAGAATCGGCGCGCTCGGATCGCACCTCAATTCGTGTCGTCGCCCTGATCCTCCTCATCCTCACCATCATCAGGGCTGGTGGGCACCGCGGCACAGCCCGTGCCCCTCAGGCATCGAGGTCGTCATCGTCATCATCGTCGTCGTCGCATCGTCGTCTTCACCGTCGCCATCATCATCGTCAGCATCTGATTCAGGGCCCGACTTCTGGCATGGAGCATATCCATGGACGGAGGGTGGTTCGTTTCCAAAGCGGGGCGATCGCCGAACATATTTTGGATTTGAATGAATGGTGGTTCCTTTTCAAGACGGGGTTATCGCTTGAATGGCAACCTCATGGGGATCTACTCTTTCACGGAGCGGGGCTGCCCGTAGTGATAAGTATGGGGGACTGGAGACGGGAGGATACGATGCAGCATCGCTGATGCACCCTGAGTTTACTTTTGTCCTCCACCTCATCTATGCTCCCCCCTCGTTCCCATATTCCTCCTCCTCCTGTTGCTCCTCCTCCTGTTCCTCCTCCTCCTCATGATGATCCTCGTCCTCGTCCTCCTCCTCCTCCTCCTGCTCCCCTCCTCTCCATCATCATCACCATCATCATCATCGTCATCATCATCTTCATCATTTTCATCATCATCATCATCATCATCATAATCATCATCATCATCATCATGATCATCATCATCATCATCATCATCATCATCATCATCATCATCATCATCATCATCATCATCATCATCCCTCCTCATCTTCTCATTCTGCAGGTGGCCCCCGCGGAGGCGACCACGTCCCCCCTGGTGATGATCAAGCCTGCGCAGGGAGAGCCCATCAGCACAGTGGCGACCTGCAGTCCAAAACCTTCGAACCAGGTCCATATTCGGTTTGGGGAGAGGCTCCAGAGTCCTAAGATCCTTCCCTGGGTCTTTCTTCTGGCGCTCCTCCTAACTCAAGGCGCGAGGTGGGGCCAAACAGAGCCCTTGCCCTTGCGAAAGTCTCCATGCTGCAAGATTTCGTTTTTAGAAGGAGCAGCAGCAGGTCTTCAAAAGTGTTCGGCAACTATCGTAAGTCGCCGGTGGTACTCCGAGGTCTCTGGAGGTCTTAGGGCGTTTTCGAAGCTCCTCGGAGGCTCTCCTGGGTCTGTGGTTTTCAAAGGTGTGGGGCAGGTTTCTGGACGTGTCTGGAAGGGGAGAAGGCCAAGGAGGAAGAAGAAGAGAGGAGGAGGAAGAGCAACAGTAGGAGGAGCAGCAGCAGCAGCGGCAGTATGACGACGAGGAAGAGAAGGAGACGGGGACGGAGAAGGAGAATGAGACGGATAACTAGCAGCAGTTGCAGCAGCAGCAAAGGATTTGAAGAGTACCTTCGGTACTCGGGGATTCTTGGAGGTTCAAGGTTGGGGGCTGGGAGGGTTCTGGCAGTTCTTGGGACATCCAAAGAGGGGAGATGAGGGGATGAAACAGCAGGATCAGTACCAGGATGGAGGAGCACCATGAGGAGGAGGAGGAGGAGGAGGAGGAGGAGGGAGAAACAAGAGGAGCATGAGCAGCAGCAGCAGGAGGAGCAGTAAGACGAGGAAGAGCGTGAACGGCGGCGGCAGCAGGGGGAAGCGCGCGAGCAGAAGCAGAAGGAAGAGGAGATCGATGAGGAGAAAGAAAAAGAAAGGATGGGAGAAGGAGAAGAAGGAAGAGTAGAAGGATGAGGAGCTGCAGCGCGAGCAGCAGCAGCAGCAGCAGCGGGAGGACGGCTGCGGCGGGCGGCCGCCAGAGGTGACCGGCACGCCGCCGGCGGAGGCGAGGGGCGCCGCGGGTGACTCGCAGCAAGCCGGGGGCGACGCCGCGCAGACCGCCTTGACCCCCGCCGCAGCCGAGCCCGGCGCC